ATAAGCAATGTTTCAAGTTAGAAAATATAGCATAAAATAAGAAACTACCCAAAATGGTGCGTGTAACATAGAATTTTATATCGAGTTCTTTATATATTTATGTGTCCCTTAACGTAGCAAGAGGTAAATGTCTTTAGTGTATTTTTTTATGTAACAATAAATTGTAGGAATTGTAACGAACGGCACAATATAATCAAGGGAACATTTCTGTACGTAAACATTCAACTGAAAGCTTGGGTATTATGTAAAACCGTGGGCTTTACGATAATCGATATAATCATCAACGCATAATCCGCGCGGATATTATTCAGCAGATGCGCTCATTTCGTAAGACCGTGTTTTTGTTGCCCAAAGCGGGCACATCGGGGTAATGGCGCGGAAACGGTTACTTAATATTTCGAACGCTTCGCTGAACTATTGAAGCACCCCGGCAGAGAGCAGAGTTTCGAGGCATTTGAAAAATTGCGCGAGGTCAATAAGTTTTCTGGAAGTTAAGGATGAAAAATTACCCCGCGAGTGTCCACGTCGCTCTGAAAAAGACTGTCGTGGAGAAAAATAAAACGGTGAGAAAACTGAGAATAAAGCGGTAACCAATACACCAAGAAAATTCGAGTCTTCTTATCTTGCTCCGAAATGTGTCACGTGCATCTCGTACATAACTAACTTATATAATAGATTGCGAATGTTTATGGAAATTCACCATTTTGGGCGTTAGTATATAAAAAGCACAATTGGCCAGAATTCTGTTTCCTATAGTAGAGTAAGTGACCTAACTATGGACAGATTAGTAGTGAGTTGTTTTCAAGAAAAACTAACAAATAATTCATCATTTTTTGTTCATACTCTCTAGTAAATTTTATTTTTCCTGAACCCTAAGAAAACATTTTTTATGGAATAATTAGAAATTAATGAAACACTGGACAAGCAAAAAAAAAAGTGTTTTTGCACCCACTATGAAGCCTTCAAAAAGAAAAACGTTACTTTATTCCACAAAAGAATGTTATTTATCTTTACGTCTTGGCACTTGCACTTCGATCTTCTGTTTTAACATTAAAATACGAAATTTAATAAATCAACGAGTTAAAATCGGAGTTAAACTTCATTGACAAAAAAAAATTACTTCAGGTGTTATATAAATACAGTGTTTTTAATTCATAAAAATACAATTAACCCTGCATAATGCGGACACCATCCGTAATAAGGTCCCTTACCCTAGAGGTTTTAATATATTAATAGTAATACATAAGTGTTATTCACTTTTCACAGAATCTGTATTTTGTTACGTGCTGCAACTCCGCAGTCTACTTATTAATAACTGTTTCTACTACTAATCTTGATATTTGAGAAGAAATGTGTAGTGACAGATGTATTAGTATAACTTTTCTTAAATAAAGTTAAAATATTGTAGACCACAGGTTTATGTCACTAATTTTTATAACAAATACTCCGTTCATTTTCCCATGAAAATATTTCATTCCATAACTCTTTAATCTCCGACTTCTGTCACTTCACCAAAGTCTCATAACACTAAACACTTAGATCGAGCGATAAAATCGCCATAGCGAATGACTCCTAATTACATAGATTAATGTACCTCTTTATAGCGCCTCAAATACAAGTCCGTCGATCGTAACCGATAATAAAAGTAATCCCGCAGAGTCACTAAAATTTTATCGTCGCAGTCAATCGTTAGCCTCAAGGGGTTGAAAAAATGGCTAACCCTGAGAATCTAGACAACCCTTAGAAGGAAAGGACCCCAACTGTCGGACTTCGATTTTAACGGAGTTTTGTAAGATGATAATACATATACAGGTTCCTAATAATACAAATATGTGAAATATTAGGTGTAGACACTCGATAGTTACAAAGTAATAAACAATTAAAGTTAGGAACTTTCAAGATGCTATGAATATAAATCAAAGTTATCGAAGTTGAGTTGACCAAGTGAAACAAAAATATTTCGGTGAACGGGAATCTATCTCAGGACCTACGATTTATCAGCCAAGCAACATTATAACTTCGACAAGTTTATTTAACTTTTATTTATAGTACATCTTGAAAGTACGTAACTATAACCGCTTACATTTTTGAAATTATCGAATGTCTATACCTAATATATCAAATACACTACTGGCAAAACGTATGGGATCGGAGTTAGTGATTAATGGAACAGTAACTGAATATTCTGTTACAATGTAGTAACAGTTACGGGATCAGTACATACAGGGTGGTCCATCTAAACGTAGCCACCTAAATATCTCCTTCAGTTTTGATTATATAAAAAATATATTCTATGTTATTTGAATGGTGTCAATGGATGAATACTCTGCAAAGAATATTTTGTGCCAAGGTCATGTTTTTGGGAGTTATTAAGGTCACAGATGTTTTTTACATATCAGTGTATATTTTGTCCTTTACATATTGTAGATGGCATTCAAAGATATTAATGACATGACCTTAAAATGACTTATGGTTACCTTCAGGTGGACTACCCTGTATACAAATAATTTCCAATCAGTTTTAACACATTACCTTTATCAAATCTTTGTAGAACAATATTTTTCTCTTTCTTTACTTATCAAACCTGATCTCATACTTTCGGCTGATAATATAAATCATTAGCAAACTGTACACTATCATCTTACAAAACTCGTTACCATCGAACTCGGACCAGTCGGAATGCTTCCCTTGTTAAAAAAGGGCTTGCAATAAATCCAGTAAAATAACAAAAATAAAAACATTCGCTCTTCCAATCTACAAGCAATTTCGAAGAGTACCGTACCTTCATATTTTTTTTTAAACTCGTCTGCATAATAATTCCATTATGAAGTTAAATATCTCCGCCGTGGTGGAATGCGCGAAGTTCGTCACGCAATGTCTCGCAACGCGTCGCCCATCTCGGGTTCATCGTGCTGAACGCAGAGCCCCGAAGTACATAAAGTGGAAGACCCCGAGGAAAGTGCCGCATTTCCGTGTCACAGGCGCAACATCATTAAAACTTTATCAATGACGGTCTGGCCGGTCGGTGATTCGGCCGTTTTCTACCGTCCTAGCGGGGCATGCGTGGTCCGTTCCCGATTACTCGTGCCCGGCAAACGTCTAATTATTGATCACCTCGTGCACCGGCAAGTGAATAGAGAGAAGGCTGCCTTTTTGTTTTCCGGAAGTGTTCGGCGACGACACGTATGTGTGTGTGTGTGTGTATTTGCGGTTCCCGATACCGCCGTTAAAAGTATCGATAACGCGATCCCTCGAGTGCCCGTTTTTCGAGTGGTGCGCTACTAGCTGAAAGTGTGTCCCTCTCCCACCCTCTCGCCGCGGCCGTCAGAAATACTCGCGTCGTCACGTACCACGCTCCGAGTATGCCACGCATTATCGTGCTCGTGAAACTTCAGCAATTGCATGGAAATTACGTAAGAATATTCCGAAATAACTAGACCGAAAATAGGTTGGAAGGCGACTTTGAACTTTCCAGCACGCTCGATTTCACAGGAGAGCGGAAGACACGACTATGCTTTAAACGTGTTTGCTTGTTAATTCTGTTGATATTGTTGAGAGACTGTGGTAGAGGGGGAGAGTGGATATGTTCGCTCATATTTTAGAAATTATGTTGCTTATTTGTATTCAGACGTTACGAAAGAAGTTGATTTACGAACAGTGACAAGGAGTTCTGGGAATATTTTTGCGCGTTGTTTCGAGCAGAATAAATATGTGAAATATAGAGAAGCCTAGAAGTGTCTTTTCTGAAATTCTCTGGGGGACCTGGGAAGTCATGAATTCCTTCGCGAAGATCACTAGACATATAGATCAAGTCCCTTCCAGAAGTCTTTGAAATGTTTTCAGAAGACTCCTGGAAGACAATCGTCGTCCTCGTGGAAAACCATCCAGACATGTTTACAGAACTATGGAGCCTCCTTCAGTGGATTATGTAGAGTCACTGAAATTCTCATGAAGTTCTTCCTGAGAGGTCTCCAGAGGACAAGCGACCTCTTCCTGGTCGTCCTTCGAAGTATTCTCGAAGGTCGCCGAAGACCAATTAAAGTCTACGGCAAGTCCTTCCTTAGAATCCCCAGAGATCGCTCGAGATCCCCCTATAGCCACTGGATGAACTCATGGAAGTCTTCAGCGTGTAACCAAAGTATGCTTCAAAGTTTCCATAGTCCCCGCCAGGTCTTTTTTAAAGGTTCGTAGAGGTAATATGTATGATCCCCTCCGGAGAAGTATCATTAAACTCCAATAATTTTAATTCCAGTTACTCAATATACATGATCCATAATGTTTTAATTTTAGAGTAGAATGAAAGATTAATACTACAGGTCTGACACACACTTTAATTGCATGCAACATGTTTATTCCATTGTGTGACACGGGTTCGTTTCGGTACTCGTCAGTTCAATTTCTACTCGGGCTGTTCCATATTTATGAATGCAAACCAGCGATAAGATAAATAATAAGGAACTTGCGGTGGCGGAACTGTGTAAATCGCATCGTCGTTTTTGAACCGTCGAGCTGAACAAAGATCGTTTCTTGCAACACGACATTTTTGTCCGGGGTAAAAACGAAGCACCAAGTTCCGAGTAAGCAAGACTACGCGGAACATTTGCGTTCCGGTATCATAAAAGAGTCTATTGTTTATTCAGGCTAACCGGCCGCGGTTAAAACGTTGCTGCGCGTTCCACGTTACTTCCTGCTCTTCTAATCTTGGAAATTTGCATAAATGTAAAGTGCGATCCGTAATGACACATAGTAGCTTCAATATTACAAAAAAAAACAGTGTTACCACAAAATAACAGGATGTCCTAGGAGAGATACAAGTTTTTACGATAAAAGACATCGCGATGGTTTGCATTCGTTCGCAATTGCTGGCGTATATTTTTCTGGCACAAGTTTTAATCTGACCTCGAGACACTTTAAGTCTGCAGTTAATTAACAAGGTCGTCGACTTTCGATATCCATAGCAGGAAGGATGAGATAATATGAATATGTTAAAATGTACTCACCACGTTTCCTGCTGTGAGCTTGAAGGTACGCTGTAATTATGTCGCACTGTTTTTCACGTTTGCTGCTGAGATAATCCTTTCGACGCAGCTGTCGGATCAGTATGCCACCGGTATGATTGATATGGTCGCGTAAATTCAATATTAGAACTTGAAGTTCACTTTTGCCTGTGAAATTAAAGAATACATCAATCGTTAATAAAAAGTGTGTCTAAAAATTGTAACGCTGTATAAATCGTTCGGACAAAAAGTTGATTGTTCGAACTGGTTTGGACTAGAACTTTATGTATTCGGATAATCGAATAATTCGAATAATTCGAATACTCCAAAGAATTCCAATATTTCGAATACTCCGGATAATCCGAATATTTTGAATACCTACTTTGAATATTCGAATGATTCGAATATCAAATTCGAATTCAACTGCTATTCGAATATTGGTAACACCCCTAGTTTGGACATTTTATCCATCACTGCGTTCGCTATCCAATGGTTAATAGACACTTCGAATCACCGAGTACGTTAAATAAATCGAAGAAAATGTTAGCAAACACTGGATGCGAAATGCAAAAAGTGTCAGGGCATACAAGGCACCTCGAGATTGCGCGAGATATTTTTAAATTGAAGGGGGCACGTTTACTCGGGGGTGGGGGTCAGGTTAAGATGAAACAAGGCGGGACACCGCGGGGAAGCCTGTGAATTGAAGCCGCAATCTTGATAACGGCCCGAAAGGGCTCTCCCTGCTGTATACACTTGCCGAAGATTGCAGTTTTCCAACTCTTTCCCGCTGTTACTTATGCTCCCTGTGTTCTTCGATCTCACTAAAAGAAACAACCGACTGCCCTGACTATTTTCTTTGATCACTCTGATTGGTGAGGCTAAATGTTCTGAATCGCAGGACTCAGCAGTCCGCCTAAGCTCGCCTCGACTTCACATAAGCTGAATTACATTGACTTCAGCGCGTTAAAATTCAAATTGGTGAACTTCGCGAAACGGTAATCGCGTCGAATACAAAAACATCGGAAAAGAAATCCCAGCTGCCTGTCGGGTTTACATTTCACGTGTTTGCAATCTACCCACGTCTTCCCGCCATTGTGTATTCATATCGACGCGGGACCATCAGGATTTAGTGAAACGTCCCATGATTTTGTTTTACAGATCGTCGGGGTAGTTAATGTATTTGATGTATACGGGAATCTCTATAGTTCGATTTAAATATTATAATACATTTTTGTTGTATTTTTTAATTCTATGTACTTGTTCGTTACCGTAACGCGACTTTAATGTAAATTGAAGGGAGTACCTACTTGGAATTTTTACGAGGGAAAAAAGAATTTCTTTATAGGTTTCGACTTAAAGTCCACGCATCGTGTCTATGGAGATAAAAGAAGTGGTTCCCCTACCCGGTTGGAAAGAAAGGGGAAAAAGTAGCACTCCAAGTCAAAGAACCTTCTTGCCTCGAAGTCAACGAGGTCGCTTGTCTGTCTGGGCGCTACGACCTCTTGTCTCGTCAGCTTCTGCCGAAGTGTCTTCTCCTAATTCGGGCGAATTTCGAATTTACCGCGTCACGTTAAATCGATACCGTCGGTAAAATTAAAACGCACGAAGGAAACGTTAGTTAAAAATTCGCCATACGTTAATCAATTAAGAAACGGAATTAACAGAACTTGTAATAATTTCAGCTGTTTACCCCCAATAACAGAACATTATGAGAAAAAGTATTAATTACAGAATTTTCAAACATTCAATTTGTTTATTGGACGTTTGTTGTATAATTAACGAGTTCAATTCAACTTTATCTCGGAATTCTACCCACTGAATAATCAATTCCTATGCGCTCGCAAAAAGGAAGCTTCCGCAATAAATGTTCTCAGGGTAACCCGTTTATCAGACACCCACGTTCCTTCCTTTTTCCCCGTGTTATAGACATTTGTATTCTCTTATTGAATTACTCTTACTTTTCCACAACAGACGCGCCTTTTGCAAATGCGAATGCTGCGGACGCCCCTTCAGGGACGAGACTGTCGAGTCGCTTTCCGTTCGTCCCCTGTCACCGTCTGGAAATCCGTAGATATCCAGCAACAGCTGATCCACCAACGACGAGATGTTTCCTTTCCCTCTTTCGAACGCGTTGGGTAGCGGCGATGGATACGTCTGAAAATAATATCCACTTTATTGGTAAACTTTAACGAAACCCAACACCTGATCATGTAAACTCCTCCATTCGTTCCACTTTCTGTCGATACAATTCTATTTTACAAGAGAGTACCGAAGACAATACTTGGTTTACCTTCACAGAATTCTTTCATTCTGTTCCATTCTCTGAATATGTAGTGTAAACGAGAAATTACCGTCGAGCCAGCTACAAACGAAATAAGAGTCTTTTTTATTTTTTACTGGGTACGTAATACTCTTATTTACTCTTTACATTAAGGGTTCAAAATACGAGCAGGCTATGCAGAGTAAATGTGGTCTGAATAAACCAGGATTAAAGCAGAAACATCTGGTCAGTGCAACGTACGTTTAATACACGCAACACAAATAAATCTTCAATTATCACCGAACACAATCTAGTTAGTCTTCGTACATTAGCATTCTTTAATTCACCAAGCACAACGTAAGAAAGAATGTCGTAGAAAATTTCCTAATGCAATATTCGAACGAATGGAAAAAGGCACAGTTTTCTCTTTTTTTCCACCAGTTGGTAGAAGCTGAATACAGACACGTCTCGCTAGTAGATTATACTATGACCAGCTGACATTTCGAAAAGGTTTCTAAAAAGGAAGCAGGTATGTACATAGTATCTATAAAACAAAATTACCTTCGGATTCCTCAATTCCGTTGTGCCCTTCACGCTGTCACCGTTCCCACAATCACGCTCGATCACCGTTCTCGTGTCACCAACCGATCTCGATCTCTTCAAACACTCCTTAACCACTTTAACCGGCATTACACTGGCCCTTCTAATCGGTCTCTTCCTATTCATCTCCATGAAATCCGGACCCTCCCAGTTTCTGTGTATCAGGTTGCATTTTCTTCGGTGGTACAACGCGGGAAACTGATATCCGTCAGCACAATACAGGAGATTTCGTGTCTGTTGCGTGACGTATACGTCACCGAACACGCGCTCGTCCTCCACCGACACGCATTTCACGCGGTAACTGATTTCCGCGTATTTCTTCAGCGGTATCACGTTGCAGCTCATCTTTCCGATCAGCTGTTTTTTTCTTTAATACTGTAACGACAAAATCAGTTTTCACATTCCCGTCGAAATCTACAAGAAAATCGTGGTGAACTCGACTGGACAATAAAACGTCACGACCATTTGTTCTGTTTTACACTTGGTTATTCTTACTAAACACGTTTGCTAAAATATTTTCGTGTAAATGTTAATGATGTTGAATGACGTTTGTTGGTTATATTATTCTCACTTGAATTTCCCAAATTCCCGCGTCATCGAACAACTTCAACGCGAAAATTCATTAAGAGGTTAAAATACGAAACTCTAATTCGTTAAACACGTCCAGGGGAAATATAAATTCCGTGTTACAGTAGTATTACCGCGTTCCCTTTGCGAATCAGAAGTTCACGCTGACAGATACGAAACGAGTAATGAATATTAACATAATTAAGCGATTCTTTTACCCTACCCGATCCCACCCATGTTTGTCGTTACGCGAAACTGATAAATTGCCGGACAATACCTCTCCGACATTTATACGCGCGGGATAGGAGATAAAGAACGACCTTCTTCGCAAGTTGTAATTATCCAACATTTATCATTTTTGATACCGCGGCTGCAACGTAGGTAATTGTTCTCAACTACCACCAGCGCGAAAATTAAGTTGCAGGAAGTGTTAACGAAATATTACGTATGATTTTGTTATTTTCGCGAAATAGAACGGTCATTGTGACTAAAAGAACAATGACAGTACATTATTGGTATATGTTTACGAATGACATGGTTGCGGTGAAATTATTGCACCTAGACTTTTTAGTTTCGAACACATAAAATTACTTATTGTAACGACAAACATTTCACGTTTCACGTACGTGTTATGTATTCGACATATTTAGAAGATTTTAGTAGAGTTATCATGAAACTTATTTCCTACTTGTCGCGATACTAACCACGTTCACTGACACATCACTGGTTGAAAAATATGCGCCATACTCGTATTTGTAACGCACTGTTATTTATAAATATTATTTACGAATTTTCATAAACTGTTTTCGTCGATATTCAGAACAATTTGTTTCGTAGGTTAGAACACGTTTCACTACACTTTTTCTCGCACCGCCTCAGACATCGGTGACCCTTATCGGGAGGCCGGTAATACACTTCTGGTGAGCAGACCGCAACTGGAAGTGTCGGCGACGATAATCGTTTCAATAAGTCCATACCTACGGTAACGTTTTGTTGCCGTGCAAGTTGCCAGAGACGGTCGTGTACAAACAAATTGAACAGCTGTTATGTATTGCAATACAACCCCACCACGTGTACAGCTACAATGCGATGAAACTTATGGGTCTCTGAAAATAAAACTGGACATTAATAATACTTTTTCTTCGCAATTACTTCTGAGGCAAATTGCATTTTAAAGTAGAATGAAAATACGAGTGAAATAGTAAATTAAATGAGAAAAGAAAGAAAAAAAGTACCTGCAGACTTAAGCGAAGCGATTGTGTATTTCTGTTGTTTTAGAGAAAAAGGAAAGATTGGAATGATTCGCGAGCACCTCGATTCCCGTTCTTCTTCGTTTTAATTTTCTTGGCTCGGAATTCGTGGGTAATTGCCGACAAATAAAAAAATGTCCCTCCCACCGGTCACGTCGCATTCCCGCGCCGTTCTTACGGTCCTCTAGCCTGAAGGTTCGAGGGGAAGCACGATTTTATGCCGGTCAACGAAAACCACTACTGTTATCGACGTCGCTGATAGCGCGCGACCGATGTAATGTAGTGCATACTCAGCTAGAATTTTAAATGCTCGCCGGGTGTGCAGTAGTCGTTCACCTGGCTGGTTCAATAACCCTCTTGCTCACGAAAAAGTGCTCCGCGGAGACAGAAGCCCTCATCTTCCCGATCACGGGTGCATATACGAAACTATTTTAAGCGTGAACAATCTATAAATGAACGCAATGAGAAAGTATGTGGTAAATCCATGGATTCGAGTAAATTCCTCATTTTCAGTCATTTCAATTTATATATCTTTAAGTATGCTACAAAATCGTGTGATGTAAAATGTATACATTAAGCGATTTACTGGGCAATATCTTCTTTTTCATGTAGTCGATGATCCATTAATAACGGATACGGTCACTAACATTATCTATTGGTTAATATCTTTTTTTTATTTTAATGAAAATTTCGGAGAAACGCAAGTATATCCAATATAGAGCTCCTCCAAAGATTTCAATACAATGGTTTACGGATTATTGACAGTACTCGTAGTATGGACCCAACGAGGTAATTAATCTTGAATTTTGAATACCCACAGCACAAGAAGAAATTAAACAGTACTACGAAAAATACTATCAAAGAATTTCAATACATGACAGACTGGTCAAGAAACTACAAAACGAACAAAAAAAAGGTTATAATAGAGCGTTATCCTCCTGCACATTCTGTATGTAAATACTGGTCCCTATTCTTCCGTTGTATTACATTGTAATATAATTTAATTACATGAAATGTATTGTGTAATAAATCACTAATGAGATTTCAAATAAAAAAAAACTACTAAACGAAACCATCGAAATGAGAATGTTACCACGTTTCAAGCACACGGATTTATCTACAGGATTCACCGTAGCAATAATAATTAAATCCAAATTATCAAACAATTACTTAATTATTGAAAAGAAAGAGAAGTTTCAATGAAACGTTCGTTAGGTATTATCGAATCATCGCCGCAACACTTACTTATTATTCACTCTAGATTGTAAATACCAGTTACTACCATAAAAATAATTTTATGGAGTATACTAATTCGGTTTCAGAGAGACTCTATTTAATGAGAACGCTAGAAATGAAATCTATAGTCTGTGGATAAATAACGCCTGAAAACCATAGACATAGAAATATTTCTATGAAACATACCGAGGTTACTGTTTCCTGTCATGTTGTAACCAACAGTACTCAGCTTCTGTAATTATATTAAATTAGGTAAATGTTACGATTATTGAATGTACCCCATTGTATTCGAGAAAAGTGCTTGATCCATAAGTTTTCCACATTTTACTAAAGAGCCTACCGAATGTTAGGAGGACCTAGATGGATCGATTTAGTTCACAGCGCGAGTGAGATACTGTCGCTATAGGAACCAAACATTTATGGCCGATGTCAGGACAGAAATTACGGTATGGTTCCATGGTGTTCGACGCAGATTATGCTTTACGGTTCGAGCATTACGATACGTCCGCGCCACGGTTGATTCGCCGTCGATCCGAAAATGGTAGAAACGCAGTGTGTGTGCGCAGAAAAAAAGGCGGAAGAGGAGGGAAGGGACATGTTGGGTTCCCGGACCGATGACATTTACCGAACCTGCAATCTACCGACACGTTTCATGTACCCACGTGAGTTTAAATAATTTATCAGAATCTATTTCATCTTAACATACGGTGTCGTTCGAAAGTTTTAGGTGTCCGTAAATTGGTACATAAATGTTTGCATAAACAATCGTCACTAATTATAAAATAATCCATATTTCATGCGTTATGCGCGACGTACAGTTGAGCCTGCAGCGAAATTAATTATGAAAATTGAATTAATATTGTTATGGTAATGTCTGTATGTATGGAGTACGCTTAGTTCACGACGGATTTCATGTTACGTATCATGGCAGTAATACATTTCTGCGGAAGACTACTATAAGAAGCTTCTTCGGACTAAAACGATAACGTTCCGCTATTAATAAGTCAGTGCTCGCGATCGGTACGCTCGGCGAAGCTTATCGGTACTGCAGACATTTTTGCATATACCACAGGAATCCTCCACAAGATGGGCATTGTTGGGAATAGACACAATTCCTCTCTTTCAATGTGTATTTCATCAGAAACTATTCACTAACATTTGGATGAAAAAAACTAACTTACCGAATAAAATGATTGGAAGATCTTTATTATATTCGTATAATTGCAATTTTTTATCATTGAGCAAATGTATTTAGCATTTTCCAAGCCAGAAGGAAATAATATTGTTTCGCACGCACCATTATAAACTTCCAGTGCCATTTATATGTAAATATGTATTCCTTCCTCTAATAATAATTACAACTCGCGTGACAATATATGTTTGTTAGGTCGATTAATTTGTAAAATCCGAAAGATATTCGTTCGGGAGAAGAAACCATATAAAACCCTAAATCAGAATTATAAACGACAATAGTAAAAAATCTCCCTTTGAACTTTAATGAACGGCAACTTCTAAAGAATGCTAAAGACCAACGCGTCCAGCTCGCTTAAAAAATATGAAATCATGAATGAAAATTCAGAAAAAATTTTCCGTCCCTCTCCTGAAGAAGCACAAATGATGAATTTTAATATCACCGTCAGAACGAAAGGCACTTCGGGTAAGAGTGTGTCAAACGGAATTTCAATAAAATTGAATTCCAAGCCCAAACGCCAATACGTGCTCCCCTATCGACCAGCTAGATACAGAAGTTTTAATAAAGCCGGGAACCGTGCGGTTTCAAGATGAATAAAACATCTAATTTCCACGAAACTGGACATCACCGTCGAGTTACAGCGTACACGGTATAGCTGATACACGTCGTCCAATGGTATCACTAGAACGGTAACCGCCGGTTCGTTCGTTCGGCCGCGTTGCGTTGAAACGTTCGCAATATCGCGTCTTCAGTGGGCATCCAGCATCTGAGAAACACCATGCGTTTCCTCTTGCTCGTTTATCTGCTGTTATCGGTCACCGCTGAAGACGTCAGCGTGGATGAAATGGACTGCCAAGTTTACAACAATCTTTACGTCTGCCTGGCGAACGGCGTGCTGCAGAGCGTCGCGTTCGAGGATGTGAACGCGGTGCAAACGATCGAGGACATAGAATTGCACCTGGAAGGTCTTGAGATCGTGGACATAGCGAAGGACGCATTCCTCGAGGTCGCCAATTCGTCCGCGCTCTATATTCGCGACAACGAGCTCACCGTCATCTCCAGACACTATTTCACCGCCCTGGACCAACTGACGTATCTCGACTTGAAGAACAACACGATCGTCGACATCGAGGACGCTGCGTTCGCCAGACTTCGGAATTTGGAGAGCCTGTTGCTCGATTACAACAACATTTCCACCCTCAGACCGGGCGCTTGGAAGGGTCTCAACGATCTTCACGAACTGTACGCGACGAACAATAATATCGTCCTGAAGAGGAACATGTTCAGGGGCCTCAGGCACCTAGAGACGCTGGCATTGGACTCTAATGAAATTACTGAAGTACCAATAGGAGCTTTCAACGGTCTGCCTCATATCGATCTACTCTATCTGTCCAGAAACAAAATTTCCACCATACAGCCGGAGATCTTCCGAGGACTTGGCGAGATCAATGAATTAGATTTGGGGAGGAATCAATTGAAGACCGTTTCCGGTGGGATATTTCGATACCTGAGGAACTTGAACTCCTTATGGCTGAATGGTAATCATATTGTCATGCTGAAGGCGGATGCCTTCGAGGGATTGGATAATCTGTTGCTACTGTTTTTGAACAGCAACGAACTACGTTTCGTGGACATGGCCGCTTTCAATCGGATGAAGAACGTGACGGTTGATCCGGGCTTCAAGATACGTGATTCACTGGTGGACAATGTCTACAAAGTGCACGGACGGTTTCGGTGCAACAGTGTCGCGTTTCAGTTCCCTTACGAGTGCACAGAAATTTAACTTCAAGTTCGCTGATGTGAAGTGTCGAAATCGATCCACGTTTATACTGTAATCGGTAATTATTGCAATCGCGAAAGTGAATTATATCAGTTTCGAAATTGGGCTGACGTTTAATTAGTGTTCATATTCACTCTCTGATTCACTTTCCCTGAGTGTAATCAAAATTATTGACGTTAAAGAACTCAATTGAATACAACTGAAATAAATGTATGTAATTTTAAATTCAGCAGAAGAGGGAATTTTAATTACAGCTGTCTTCTTAATGTTTTGCCATTGTTTAAATGCGAAAAGAGTTTGTACTGCCATATTGGATGTTTGCGATTGCGATACGCGATGTTCGTAGATGTTAAGTTTTTTTACACGGCGAGATAATATCGACGGTTCATGTAGACTATTAAATTTGTAGAAGATATGTTACTTGTCGAAACAAATGGAATTGCAAGTGTCTGTCGAGGGACATTTTATCCGATGGAAGTTGTTTTTGCAGGGGTCTTTATGGGATACCGGCAGGACGACAGTCCACTTCCGCATCCTTGTTACAGGAGCACGTCGATGGACTACGGATGGTACGCACCGACTGTACACACCGTGCCCACAAGATACTATCCGCGGAATACATCTTTCAGCGAACATCAATCGCTCGGTGGACTATATCGAAACTGCTCCTTGAACACGGAACTCGACAAATCCATTATTTAAGTACTTTATCCCACGCTTCTGACGATAATCATCCATCTAAATTCAGCTAATTTCAATTCTGAACTAACTACGGAACATTCACTGTGAGAATATTTTTGAGGTATTAACAGAAAGTGAACGAAAGTTATTGTGCTGTATACTGTAATGTATTCGGTAAATATTTTCAATAAATTTCTAAAATGTAATATTTGTGTTAACATTGAATGGTTTTCATTTCTGTAGTCCTCCAAGGTGACTCCTGCAAATTTTTAATAATTATAAATTTAGTTGAAAATTTAACAGAACATTTTTAAAAGCTTCAACTTTTGATTGTAAAAGAACCATTATAAAAATTTCTTTTTAACACGGACCCTATGGAACTGTAGTTCATACTGAGAAGTTATAATCGCTTCTTATTTAGTTACAAAAAATTATGTTTCCATAAAAAATTAGGTGGTTATAGATTTTTATCCGGAGATTATGATGGTATGGAAAAAAAGATATGTTAACGATCAAATAAAACTAAAAATTCAGATTAAAGTATGCACACTTAGGTTTCAATGCGTTTTCTACGCATGTCTTCTATGAGCGTCAACATCGCTTGTTTTCCTTTGGTTTGTTCGACAAATTTTCCAATATTTTTTTAGAATTAAAAACAATATTTTTTACAAGAGGGTATACAAATTTTTGTTTTTTCCACTTAATTACCTTGTAAATTGTTTTACATTTAAGTATTTTGGAATAGTTTAAAATATTAATCATTCAAATTAAATTGGTTAAATTGATAAGAAGTATAAAGAGCCATATGGAGCCCAAGCTAGATAGGACACCAAACGCGGAAGCTACCTCAAGATCAGGTGAGAGACTAGACCTAAGAAAAATAATTGTTCATATCCAGATAGTAATTATTCATCATGGATATTAGTGGCTTTTGAGGAAGTGATGTTTTTTTAAGATTACTTTTTACATGTGTTCTGTCTTCACTTTTCTTTTGACTTTTGAGACTGATTCGATTCATTGCACCAGTTTTAAATCAGTTTTTCTTATGTAACCCTTTAACTCGAACGATTTGTATTAACTGTTGTTCGGTGGTAGGGTAAAATTGACATGCGACAGAAATATAATATTTTATGTTTATATATATACTTTTATTATTACAGTTTAGCTTACGAATCGCAGTAATCGTATTATCAACAGACCCTACAACGGCGACCCACGGTTACACGGCGCCTCCCGACTCTACTGCTGATTAGAATGGTGTCTTTTCGCTGCGTTACAATTACTGGGATTATTGTTTTACGTTTATTAACTTTGTCTCCGTTACAGCGTTTTTCCTCCTCGAAGTCTGCAGTTATTTGGTATTTTTGCGAATTGTTATAACATTTGATAATTCGAATGCATGCCATTTTTCGATTACGTAACACAATGAGACAGTTCAATTCGTCAAAGAGTTCTTAATATTTCAATGTTTTAACAACCATAACGACCTCCAATACGTCGGGCAACGTTTGATGGTCCGGTATGGTAATATTTGTTGATTATTCAATGGCGGATACACCATTCTATCCAAGAAACTCTGCAACGTTTGCTCAAGGTATCTGATTAACAGTCCGCGTCGACTATTTCACGAAGACATCATTGAGAGATTCTGCATTGACCCCACCGATCGATTGAAATCCTGCGACATAATTACAGTAGCGTACTGTTTGGATCGAAACAAGTTTACCCAGAAATTTTCCACATCACGTCACGTATCAAAATCGTTCGTAATGACGTCATGTGAAAAACTGAGCGAACCGGGAAAGAACGTATCAGCCGGCCAGAAAGCTGCCTGGAATCGTTGTGAACAATCTTAAACCACTTCGATACGCAGGAAGTCTTCCAGCTCGGTTCTGAACGTATTCTCCGTCAAGTATCACGAATCTCATTTCTATCTGCGTCACAAACGAAACACGAAGAGTACGACGAAATTCCATCAGATTCGTCAGTATCTTGATACTTCGTTTGCTTAGGCTTCGCCTACAGAATCGTCTTCGTAGTTGATGATCGTTAAATCAGGCGAAACGCGATCGTAAGATATACTTGATTCCCGATGAAGATTTAATTATCGTTTTACAATGATCACCAGGGTGTCGATCGATTCCGCCGTCGTCACGAGGAACACTCTCTAATGAAACTCTCCGTGAAACACCATGCTCGTTACCTACCTCTGTCGCTTATCTCGCGTCCCCCATGAAACACGGCTTATCTCCGAGTCGACCGTACACATCGACATTCTTTCGATCACATTGCGAACGACATTACAAATCGACAACCCGTGGAAGCTGATCGAGAGGAACATTTCCCCGTCGATATATCTCGTAGAATGCGGATGAAACACGCCCTTTTAACGTAACGATCTCGCGGCGGGTAGGATCGGTAACGAGCAACCCGACGCGGAGCGGCCTGTTTCGATACCTATCCTTTACATATGCCTTCTGGTACATATCTATACACGGTCCTATACATTGTACTACATGTTTTATCGTTTCTCTCGAATTCTCAATGTGCTGCACTTACCTACCCCCAATAATTCAATGATGATCCTTAATGGCTAACGATGACAGATAGAACTCGCATTTTACGCAATTTACTTAACATTCTTCGTCCGTATTACTCGTCGTATTACAATGGCGATTAGATAAAACGTGGGGTAAATGGTCGTACGATCAGAGGGATTGTGGTAATTAATTCGAATAGAGGATGTCTGGGACGCCGAATTACGATTCGCAGTCGCCCCTCGATCGCGTGTTCGTTGTTCGTTCGACGTAATATGTGTATGATCGAGACACTCAAAGTTGCATCTTCGCTTTGAGTGGCCTCGGCTATACAATGAGCAAGAAGAAGGTTACTGGGGCGACTCGATTGATAAAATGGCGTCTCGAGCGGCCGACACGATCGAGATCGTTTGACGGAGGACGCATTAACCTTCGCCGGAAAGAATTTCGATGGATCGACCGCGTGATCGTTTTTATATTTGTTTTTTTTTTGGGGGGGGGGGAAAGGGGGAACGTTCTAAGCGATTTCGCGACGCGTCTGGGATATTCGCGTCGCGAACAGTACATTGATTTAACACTAACGCTACTCTCTCACACTTGTCTCGTTTGAGGGAAGCGATCGCGCGGGTTACGCTCCGCTCCACTCGTAATACCTTATATTGTCGTACAATTGATATCGAATATCGGTTTAATAGAGAGCCCGTGTCGCGCCAAGACGTTGCTACTTCGACGATCGGAATGAAGCGATCGATGATTACGGGATCACGATCCACGGGTTCCGAGGTAAACTCGACCGGCGCGAACCAACGGTCCCTTCCGCGACTCTTCTCTTTTCATGTGTATTATAGCATTCCGACCAATTTACAATTAATTAGACCTGAAAACTCCTCTTACACCTTACGATACCATTAACATCCCCCTGGAACAATAGGCTGCATTCTCCGTTGTTCGTCCGGGGCGATAAGCTACAACTGCCGCGTATCATACTTTTTTCTTTCTATACATATATAATATATATATATATATATGAATGTATTATGTATAATCGTGTATAATATTCGTGTACGTGTGGATACGTGTGTTCCGAGTGATTATAGTACATGTGGCTAGCACTCATTGAAATCAAGGAGGTAACATACGGTTACATAGATCCTAACTTACTAGCCTATCATGATAAATCTCCGTCTTACCGATTAAGTACGCCTTCTTATTCGTAAAATTTCGTTACACAGAGACACTGAATATATTCGTAATCGAAGGGACGACCGTTCCACGGTGATCGGCGTCCCCGTCGATCCGAGCGCACGATCGTCGATCCGGCGATTAACTATTAGCGCAAGAATGTTGCTCTCGATCATTTTGTTCGCACCTTCCGTATTCGTTGTAAGTAGATCGTAGCTTGGTGTTTCGTTTTCACAACCATAATGTCGCCGTCCGGGAAGAAGGACAACTGGTGTTCAACGATCGTCGACGATTCGAGTAAACGGAATCGTCGTGGTTCGATCGCCGATTAAGATGTCTCTCTCGTTCACGCACGTATGTACACGCACACACACACACATCCACACCGTGAATCTCTGTTCGACACGGTGTCGCCTTAAGATTGAAATGATCAACGGAAGGGGGAAAGCAACGAGGCACTGAAGAAAATGGCAGCGAACGCCGCGTGACTAAAATCGTCGGGTCGACACGAGACGCGGGGATCGATCGAGGCCCCACCGATATACGGATCGAACGCTCGTTATTACTCGGCGAGATGATTCGAATCCATAATTAACGTATCCTAAGCGTGTAACCTAGGCTGTTCGAGTTAAATACAATTTCGTCGCTTGTCACATGGTTCTCAAATGAGCCCAATCGAGCACCGTGAGAGAAGTTACGAAAGTAGATTCTGCTGACGCGTGATCATTACCCTATATCCATGGGTGTTCTAGACGCGTCAGCGAGCCCGGCTCTTAATTTCCCTTTCTGTCTCTTTCCGCTAGAACTTACTTATACGGTGTCGTCGTCCAAAGGCATCTAATTAGTTCCACGGTCTTAAATGTATCTATTCACGGCATATCTTAAAGCCAACAACGTTATTACACGACACAATGAATCCTAAATAGACTAGATTAATTCTTAACGTTAGTTAACGGGCAAGGAGGGAAAATAGATTGGATGATGAGGAATTGGAATTGGACGAGTATTTAGTTCGTGGAACGGGAAGGGCGAGGGGAGGAATCTATAGAACTACCGGTATTGCTGGTTACGTTGTTACGACGAAATCAAACGTTACATGCATACGTAAATACGATTAAGAAGAGGGGGATTGGAGAGGTATTAACGGCTGCTCACTACATCACACGGGCACTAGAACAAATTATTAAGGTCATCGTTTCCTAAGGTTCTCTCTTTTTTTTTTTTTTACATGATCAAGCGATAAAATGCCTGTCGATGTGTGCTTGTGTCTGATTGATGGTTTCGCGTGATCATCTGTAACGATCTCGCAGGAACAATCGATATGAACTTATAATTCTAACGTAATGGATAAACTTTCTCATCGATTATATTGATAACGTTAACGTAGAAAATAATCGCTGGGATTCTTGTAAAAATTTCTATTGATGTTCAAATGTAATGTAAGGTATTATATAAGGATTTCATTTACACACAGTTCATATTAATCAGATGATCACGCAAGTTGTCCCGGTCCGATTCCGAATTCGCCCCTAAATGACTCATTCCTATGATTTCACCGAAGAAGCCTGGTTAATTCTAGTCGTTATACAGATCGATGTGAAATGCCGTCGACTCGTCTAGACTCCAACGCTTGAACCCCAGCTGCCTTTTTCTAGTTTCTATCCTACCTAGTGCATAAACTTGCACCCCTGAGATATTCGGTATCTTTAACCGCATCTACGTATCAGTGCAGATCGGACACATTCTTCTTAACGTGCCAATCGGGGTGCGTTTACACTGCCGAAACGTTCAGTCTCATCATCCATGTTAGATCAGGCTAACTTGTGATGTTTCAATCTCTGATGAGAAAACCTCGGGGACAAACCGAATCCTTTCTTTCCACTTTAAATGATTTCATCGTGTTCCATGTTAATTATTCGGTTGGAATTGGGTTCGAAACACGTCGCAGCGGCTGTGTACACGCACTCTCAAGCTGTCGTTTCGTTCTGCATCGTGGCGTCAGCTCCGAAAGCGAGTTCTTAACATTCGTTCCCGAGGACATTGTACTTCGCCGAGCAGACCTGAGCTTCTATCCAGCGCTGTAAAAATTCGTCCGTGTGTGTGTGTGTGTGTCACGAGTGTCATTTTATTCTTAAAGTACTGTTTCAATGTTGGCGGTTTTGATATCATCTTTGATGTAGTTGTCTCAGTCAGCTTTGATTTACGGATGATCACGAGAGCTTCGTCTAGAAATTAGGTACCTTCAACGCTAAATTTCTGGCGCTTATCTATTCGCTCGACACTAAACACCTGTAGCTTAGAATCCTTTCTACGTTTCCTTTGCCGGTAGAAACAAACAGTCTCAGAGAAAGTTCACCGAAGCTTGTTAATCTAAGACTACGTAAATCGTAACCGCGAAAAAAATCGTTAATCGAGGTACCGTAATTTTAATATGTTCCTGCTTCTACTTTCGAAGAAATTCACGTGTAAAATGAATCTAACGCCTTCGTGTCGCAGCTGATCTTTGATGCTTGGACGGTGTACTCCCGCACTTATCCACGATATCCGAAGGGCGATACGACTGGTAAAATGTCTCGTTTGTGATGATCAATACAAATGCAATGGTGCACGGTGTCTCTCGTATACAAAAGTATAAACAATAGATCTCATGGATTAAGTGCGTAGCAAGAGTGTACGACGAGTTTTTCGTCGGGTCTCGAATGAGTGAAAAGGGGGTGACAAGAAGGGCACTTAAGTTGTCAAGGCACATCAAAAACCAAACCAATTCGGACGTCTATTTACCGGAAATCATGCATCGTAAACAGGTGTGTGGGAGTCGTTTAATTTCTCATAACAATCTATTCAATCGAATCTACATCAAGCTGTAGAACATCGAACGATTAAATTATGCAATAGAGGATGGACTAGGTTACATATTTGCATCTGCGTATCGCTGATTCTGTATCGTTGATCGGAACGTTTCGCGATGGAATCCATTCAATAATGACACAGAAACAGAGCAGATCGCGTGGAAAAGGAGTCAACGCTTACATTTTACAATCCTATGCATGCCCTATCTGTCTAACCAACGAAAGCTTCGATAGAAACTATTTAAGTAACTTCTAGAGAACTCAAGGTATATCGTAACGTGAAACGATAAAGTAACAGAACATTGGAAGTAAATTCTTACTCTTTTGTTTTTTTTTTACTTTCGAAGCTGACACCACCAGGTCTGTCTTCGTCATAATACGTCGATCAGCCCTTACGCTAATGTAAATTGAGATCATTTGGATAAAAAGCTTCCCTTCTCTCTCTCTCTCTCTCTCTCTCTCTCTCTCTCTCTCTCTCTCTCTCACTCGTCGCCGATCGATTCTCCATCAGCTCTCCATGATTCCGTGTTCGAGTACTGATCCAAAGAAGTGGAATTTGCAACGTAGCATTTCAGCAAAACGGACATGTTTGAATACATATATATTTGCAGATCATCGAAACGTTACTTCCTGGTTTCATCGAATTCGCGCTAGCGCAAACAGTAGAATGCCCATGTTTTTTCGTTCTTCGTCGTTCTCGCGACACCTAGTGAACGCAATCTCCTTTTCCCGTGTTCTAGCTTCGCGAACCCGTTTTCTTACATTTTGATTTCTCGCGGTAATGATCTTAACTCTACGGAGGAACGAACGTTTTTCTTTTCTTTTCTTTTTTTTTTCTTTCTACTCTCGTGAATTTTCACCGGCCCTCGAAAAATCGCCCGCGCGCCAATAAATCGTTTCCGATTCGAGACCAACGCGCGGCAAAATTTCGGAAAAAAGAATCGGTTCGTTTTTTTCGTACTGGAATCCGGGACAGTTTTCAACATCGAGATGCTGGCGACTATTCGAAGACAATAAATTTCGTTACGCGTCCAAATCGTTATCGGTCGCCGGTCGAAGAAAATTTTTTTTGTTCACAAGCCGAGAAACATGTGTGTATCGAGAACCGTACCGACGAGCCCCAGAGTTAATTTTTGCCGGTTACTGCCAACACAGCAGTCCGTTTAACAGCCGAAACCGTTTTGCGTTCGCTCACATGCACGATGTCAAAGTACCGCCCGTCCCCGTTTATGCTTAAATGACTATTTTGCGCGCGCTTAAAGACACGGACTCGCGTACCTTTGTCTTCCGGCGAAGATCCGAGGCGCTAAGTCTGTTTCTTTAGCGGAATGTTGAGTTATTAATGCCCGAATCTCCTCGTTTCTTTTTGTTCTCCTCAATCATATTGAATGACGTCGGTTATACAAATATTTTAACAATTTTACAAATATTTCAACTGCAAAAAGACTTCGCCCCATTTCCATTTTGTAAAATCCCATAAATTTTTTCCCTTCTCGCTCTATCTCTCTCTCTCTTCGTTTTTTTATCATTTTTCGTCTTTCCCCGTTTTTCTTTCATTTAGACAATGCTCTATAATCGAAAGTTAAGCCTAAAAAGTGGTGGATTGCCGGAGGTAAAGTCGGATGAGGAGATGACAGGGGGGCCTGCGGTATATTGTTTCTTCTTCCTGTTCTGAATCGAAAATCAAGTGCCTGCGTTCCCGTGACCGAGACCGGAGTGTATGTAGTGTGCAGAACGGATTACGTCGATGGTAACGAAACATAACCGGACGCTCGGAAAACGTATCATTTATCGATTTAATCTGAGAATCGTCTTAGCCACTATTTTTAAATGTCGAATACATCGAATACATAGAACCTACATAGTACTTGTTTTCATTTCTCGTTTCATTTAATATACATAAACGACCACGACTTTATTTTCTCTGTTCTACAATCCCCGTTAATTTTTCGTATAACCCCTCCCGTTATCGAAACGCGTAGCTAATTTTGTTACAACGAATATTTAATGTACGCAAGAAGAACTGGTGATTAATAACAATAAAGTAACGGTTACGAGATTACGACATTGAATAAAAAAAAAAACGAATCTTCGATCGGTTCCGAATCAACTATAAACGAAATGCAGAGGTACGAAGTTAAAGGTCGAATTGTTAATCGGAAATAAACGGTTAACGAGTTATGTTTATGTTTATACACATCGCCGTGGACCGTTAGCAAAATTTACATCGTTATATAGCGACACGTGTGTGACACTAGCGCCGTTTAGTTGCGCTCGATGATCTGCAAATATATAAACGTCTCGCTTAGGTCAAGATAAACTTCAACTCTGAATAGAATCATTGTACATAAGCTAATATAAATCAGGCCAGCCCAATATAATCAATAAAATCTTTCAGCAGCAACAGATCGCTGTAGAAGATATGTAACGCAGAGTGATGTTCTTTTAAAAAGATTCCAACTCATTTGCGCCTTGAGTACTTCTCCGCGTTCAATTTAACATAAGCTTAAGGAGATCTCCTTTGCTTCAGTACTTTCGTTTCGTGAATTTACATGTCGCCGAAAATTCCAGCGAATGTCTTCCGAAGATTCTTCATGGTGTCTTCGGTGTCTTCGTTCTGGGACTGACTGCCCTGCCGGTGGAAAGGTACTCTGGATGGCGGAAGATCTTCTGGTCGTCGACCAACGGAAGGAGCGCTGCTCACTGTACTCGACTGGGACGCTACGTGTAAAAGACTTTAATAGCATAATATTCGTTCACTGTATGAATCAATATTCTTTCCATACAGTATTAAATTCATTCAACAAGAACAGGGTCTCAATTTCGGTTCGCCGATTTTAATGAAATGTTTCTGACAGTAGTAAACTTCTTCAGGACAATATTAGGCTCTTTCTTTACAAATCACCTCCTATATAGGGGTAGCTGCTATATATTTCAAAAGTTTTATTAAAATCGGTACTCCTAAGTTGGAGCTTTCTCCTTGTAAGTGTTGTTGAACGTCTACAAACCTTGAGAGTCACGACGTTGCAACGGTTGATGATGACTGTCGGTAGTAGTAACGTCGCCCGCCATTGCAGTTGTAGACCCCAAGGAACCTACGCTTCCTATGCTCGCCATGGAGCCCATACTTCCGTGTGATCCTAATGGAGCAGTTGGTGGTGCTGTGCGATCTTCTACGGGACTTGTCGCCTGACTAGAGCCCGACATTGATCCTCTGGACGTTGTTTTTGTCATTACACTCGGAGGTCGGCAGAATGCCTACAATTTAGTGAAATAATATATATATTTCCATAAAAGTATCTTCAACGATTTGCAAGCAACTCCCGTGTAACATTCCCATAAGAAGGTCTCGATCTGACATGGTTAGAGGATTGGGGAAACTCTTGAATAAAACGGTACCACTCTAACATGATTAACGAATTGTGTAGAATAGTGTAATTTGTTAGTTTCTGGAAATTAACACTGTTTTATAGGGAGCCACTTGCACATGTTGGTTAAAAAAAATTCTTTTGTTACCTGCATCTTCGCGTTAACAAGATCCGCGATATGACGACGATCTTCCTCTTGCGAGTCCCCCATTAACGACAGGGCGCTATCGTTCACTTCGATTATGTATTCTCGACCATCCTTCCCAACCAGCAACTCGATCGCGCAAATATCCAATCCGCCGAACAACTGGGCCACATGATCGACCCAGGTGCGATGTCTTTCGCTCACAGCTAATTGCTCCAACATCGCCGAACCCGTGTTGGACTTCCAGTTTCCGCTTATGCTCTTCCGCCTGAGAGGAGAATCGAGAACCGCAATTACGAGATCCGTTCAAACAGTTTCGTGGTGTAATGATTTATGCATTCACCGCGGTCGCCTTCCCGAACAATTAACTCTCGGCTGGTGAGGTCGGGGTGAGACACGAATCCTCAACATGTCGCGTTTAATTACCTCTAATTGACAGTATCGATTATTGACCAACTTTTATGGTAATGTCGCTGTTTCATAAGATACTCTATTATTGACACATAGATTGATCTTCGTGTTAAAGAAATTTCAACATTTCGACGGTTCAGTAACGTACCGCAAGTTGAACCATGAAAGTCTAAGTGTTTCCGGCCATTATTATTAATGTACAGTATGTTACCGTGATTTATATTCATTCGTGCCATATACCAATCAACTACAAACAGTAAGCATCATTAGAACTCTACACTATTAGGCAAATTCAAAGGAAACAGGTATGCATTCGTCATTTTTACGTCACCCACGGATCATACCTTCACGTGTTTAGAACCATATATTCAATTATTAATTTTAACATTGGAAATACGAAGTTCTGAAACTACTCCCACCCACCCGTCACCCAACAAATATTTCATCCTCCCAGTCGATCATCGATCAACATTGTAGTGCGAAGTGTTCATTGTTGCAAGTAGTCCTGCTACACGGTGAATTTTTTCCAACCCCCGTGTTTATTGCAAGTTATCGAGATTTCCGCGCGGAATGAGTATAAACAATGAGTCAGAAACGTAATTCTAGGGGACACTCACATGAACGCCTTGTAGTTATTGCCTATTTTCTGCACGTGCACGTCGTACTTAGTGTCGACGTACGGCTCCGAGGTGGAGTAGGTGTTCGCCAGAGCGGCCAACGAGGCGAGATCCAGAAACTCCTGATTCGACTCCGCGCGAGCTTTTCCCACTCCGCCGTGGGCGTGTCCAAGTTTCATCACGACCGGATAACGAGATGCGCTTACCTGCAAAAAAGAAAATGGATAATCGACCGACGCAATTAATGCGAACGCGATACGATTGCGGGACTAGTTGGTTCGAGTGGATCACCCAACGAGCAGACTGACACTGTCTACGCGGCATAAAAATATATATTAACAACGAAACTACAAATCAACGTTGTACCATTCAAAATAGTTCCTTTGGGAAGCCACATTTCGCTGTAGACGTCGTTCCCATTTCTGGAGACAGTGCTGGAATTCTTCAACTGGAATTACTTTCGGTTGGTTTGTCGCAATCTTTTGGATGCTGTCTACAGTTCTAAGATGACAACATTTAAGTGATTCTGGAAGAAGTCACACGAACCAAAAGTGAGGGAACTATGGTATCATAGGAAGGCCGTTATGGGCCAAAACTTGTACACAGAGAGTTTTCTTGGATGTTGCATCATGACGATGCTCTCTGTTACATTGTACTACAGAAAATTCCCTGTGAACAATTCTTTAGCCAATAAGTGTATTCTTGTGGTTCCACAGCCCCCTCACTCCCCTGATCCAAATTCACGTGAATTCTTCCTGTCCTCAAAAATCAGAAAACCCATCTCGAGGGTCGTCTTCTTTGAACTGTGGAAAACATCCAAAAGGTAATTTCGATCAAAGACTTACAGCACTATTTGCAGAAGTGAGAACAACGTCTCTGGTTGTGTTTGGTTTCTCAAGGAAACTATTTCGAAGCTGATACTGTTGATCTGGAATTGAGTTGCTTATAAATACTTTTAGACGACCAGTCTCATTACGAGACTGCGGATGTTCCTGCATTCGCAGCACTTCTTAATTCGGAAAATGCAAGAAAATGGATGTTCTAATAAAATTAAATACTATTAACGTAGTAAAGCCTCTGGTACATAATTTAAAATTCTGCTCCATTTCAATTTCTGGGTATTAGTATTCAAAATTTTTCAATTTCCATGAACTGCCACAGTCTACTCGTTACTTTTCATACACACCACGTATACAGTAAATCTACGATGAGTGTTCGAAAGCTCCTCGGCACTGACAAAGAGAAGTTCCCAGGTGTAACGCTGACTTTTTAATGAGATTTAGAACCACAATACAGCTTGAAATTCTGAAGCCAATGACATTTGTTTCATCTGCGTATGGTCATTAGTTTATGAAATATTCAATCTTCAGTGCCAATTAGCCTTCGAACGCTCATCGAGGATTTACTGCACTGCGAACTACAGTACCACGAGCGGACGACGAACTCGACCCAACAATTCAGTCATTATTTAACGTGTTTCTGCGTCGACCGGCAGGGGATCGATTAACAATACGCCGCGTGTTCTGCATTCCGTTCGAACGTCGAACGGAAACCAGTCCCCGATGGGACGCCTACAGCGATCTACCGGCGGTTGTCTTCGATAATCGAACGCATTTAACCGACATCTGTGAACGAAGATCAAAGTACGCCGATACACAGGCGGTTGATTAAGCAGTCCACGATATTCGCGTGGGTCGGAAACGGATTATTACACGCGAACTGTAACGCGTGTCGTTCCATCCCGCCGGTGGGTGCGCTTCCCGCGTGATCAACTGTCCGTGAAACGTAACCTCACGGCTCCTAGTTTCTATGGTCAAGGAAAAACTGAACGTCCACGGGGAAACCTTGCTGCCAATGATTTCATTGAAAAACGATGCCCTCCGATAGCCTTTTCACTAGATACACATACCCGAACACATACACACGAGCAATCCCATCGTACCGGTTCCCGTTTTTCTCCCTCTCCCGTGATCAGGTAATCATCACTCGCGGAGCATAATCTCCGGCGGTCACGAATTTCATCCGATTCCACTAGGGTAATCGAGTTAGGAGAAAGAGGGATGGCTAGAGGAGACAGCGTATAAAATGTGAATGCTTTCCGGTGTATCCCGTTAACACAGATAACCGCACGGTATTCCCCGGTTGATAGATAAGACGTTCAACCGTCTGGTAAGCTTAAGTGGCCAACCGTTGAGTTTAATCTCCGTCACATTCGAACGCATCCTTGGCGTTCTCGGTCTATCTCTTCTAGGAACGAATCTGAAACGGACCTCACCTGCACCGGTCTGCAAGTTTTCACGCGATATCCGTTCCCCGGCTGCGCAATGTAACGAGTTACAGAGCTTCGTCGTACCACTATTTACACGATGATGCAGAAAAAGGAAGTGACTGTTTAATGGATTGCCCCACGGGTTCGTGTCCGGGCACGGATGGCGACCGGCGGATCCCTTGATACTTCACCTAGCTAGAACAGTGCTCAAACTGTGTGCACGCAACGCACGTGGTTCGCGGGGGCACGTGGGTGTCGCAAAACTGCCTTCCTGAGCACCGCTGGACACACGCGTCTGTGCCCCTTGCCCCTCACGGCGCGGACACCAACGACGGGGATCAACGGCGAGGGACACGGAGATAAATCATTTATCGTGCCCAAGGGGACTTTCGAGGACTCCGAGAGGGCAGACAGGGGTGTCACCGTTGATTTCGTTTCTTCTTTTTTTTTTTCTTCGTTCTCGGACCGTACTGAAAATAATGCGCGTTTCACGCGGTGGCGAAACGAATGCTTGCGTCGACGCAACGGAAAATTTACATTGGTTGTTAAGTTACACGACGGTTTGTTATCTTACGGATCATTATTGGACTGAAGTGCTGGTTTCTTGTAGCTGAAGAGTCATTTCTAATTTCAGTTTAATTTAAGGGTTTTGGTCGTTGAGTGCATTGAAGAACAAATGTATGACAGATAGACGTGTGTCTGGAAATTGGAAGTTAGGAAAAGAATAATTCATGTGCAAATAGATTAAGAGGTTCGAAAATAAGATTAGCACTAACGTATCGTTTAAAGAGTTGAGCTGCTTCGAAATTAAGGTTACTTTTTCAGAATTTTCAAAAACCTTCAATAATAAAATTCTCCAGATGTCGCTAATTTAGAGATTCATTTAGGAAATAAATTAAATTTCCTCATAGCTCTAACTTCGAACGGATAAAAATACCATTGAAATAACGCTGTTCCCTTGAACTCCGTAGCTTTAGAATACACGGATACCAAAATTCCTGGGATTTACCGAACGCTGATATCTACATATATGCTGAATTTTATATCTTCATCAACGAAACTTTAAACAGATATATGTTTTCACTGGGTCAGCAACGTTCCTTTCATGGTTTAAAGATCTTCAGATTCCGCAACTCCTAACACTTCGCGATTTCGAAGATCCGTATCGTAATTTCCAACTGTTCACCCGTGGACAACAGCGCAGCGAATAAAATTTGCCTGTGTAGCTCGTATAATTGAAAGAGTCAGCATAACGAAGCCATTGGTCGAACATGTACCCAGAAACCGGCACGAGTGAAATGCTAATTCCGCTTCAATGTCCGAAGACAATATACGTTTCTGTTCCCTCTGGGTCCAGTGTTCCGTCGAGGATTAAAAAGACCCGCGCGGCCGTATTAAATGATAGTAATCGTGGATCAAACGGTGATGAGTGGAACCCCCGCGAGCACGTTTTAGCGAACCGTGGAGCCGCCTTGGAGCAAAAGGGAGAGAGAGTAGCGTGCACGAAAGAATGAAAAAAAAAAAAAATTAACGAAGTGTAGATCGAAACATGGTTTGAAATGAGAGAGATGAAAACCCAAGGCGGCTCCCTGTGGGAACGGAGACGTTTCGTTCCGTCGCGAAACGCGAGAGAAAGATAGAGAGGGAAGAACTGTGGGTGGCCGGCGGGAGACGGAAAGTGAACAAGGTATATAACCGTGGCGGTGGGAGACAGAGAGAAAGAGAGACACTTCATAGTAGTGGGGAAAACGCGAGTATAGGAGGGGAAGAGGTGGATCAAACCGAACAAGGACGGAGCGAACGATAATGGAAAACGAGTGCCTGAGACAGAGCCATGGGCGGCGTAGTCGGTATGAACGAACGATAGAACGAGAAAGGTGAAAGAGGAAAGGCAGCGATGGAACGAGGGGGAATAAGATTGAAGTAATACGGGGATAAAGACAAAGAATGGGTACGAAAAAGAGATCGAAGTCGCGCGATGTTGGGAGGGGGTTGGAGTTGAAAACGTGGCGCGCGCGCGCTCGCAAAAGTGAGAGAGAGGGAGAGTGAGTCGAGGGGTAAAAGTCGGAAACGGTGAAGCGAGACGGGGAATCAGGTATGATTGAGCGAGCAAGAGGGAGTTGAACAAGGTGGAGCGAGAGAAAGGTGAGACGAGGCTGGAAGCGAGATGGAATGATCGGCGAGAGATCGACGTAAGAACGTAGGAAGGAACGAGAGAGGCTCCCGGTGTCGCGTTCGGCGCTTGCATTGCTTTTCGAAGCTCGCGCGCGAACGGTTCGTGGGTATTCGACGCGCGCAAGTGTGTGAATAAGTGTGCGCCCGCGACAGGGTCGATAAAACACACGTGAAAATCCCGTCGGTCCTCTTTACACCGGCCAATGGTAGTACGTAATATCAGCCTGGAGAGACATTTCGCGCGGATTCGGAACGTTGGTACAAACACCCTAGAAAGCTCGCGACTACCGGTACACTTCTTCACGCCGGCTCCGAAGGTTTAACGCGCCGAATCGTCGTGGTCTGACGAGAGTGGTGAACAGAACAAGGTTACTTAATCGTCGCGGAACGATCCATCGGGATCGTCCGTTTCGACGGAGCCGCGCGTTCACCGCGTTCGCCGATTTTCAAAGTATGCCCGCGGGTCTTTGAGGTCAAGGAGAATAACGGAGAGAAAGGCAGAGTGGTGGTAGACGTTAAACTGTGCAAGGAAAGCGGAAGAAGAAGAAAGAGGGATCAGCCAAGGGGTCACGGAGAAAGGTATATTACTGTTCACCGCGCGCAGTCAGCGCGCGCGATTTTCACATTGTACTCCGAAGCATTTCCGCGTTTCAGTCCCCGCTGCTAACCGTGGCGCTTCACGCCACTGATTTGAACTTCTCCGTCCGATGCGCACGGGTGATTTTGAACGGATTCACGAAACTTACAGGCATATTTTATTGT